CAGAAAACAACTCTGTTTTTAATTCTTTGTAAGAATATTGTATAAAACCCAGAGAAAAACACCTTACTTTTTCAAGAGAAGTAAAAAACTATTTCTAAGATCTTTTTTTTTTTTGCATTAACTGCTGCAGAAGAATGAGATAGAAACTGCTAAGATATACACTACTGTATACTCTCTATCAAGACTTTCCCTCTTCAGAGTCTTGATATTATAGAGAATATAAGTCTGTTTCTATATGATAATGTAAATATTGCCAGCAGGATGTAGAGGAACTGGTTATTTATATCTCAAAATAGAAGACTTTGTCAATGATTATATCAATATAGAGTTAATTCTCAAATTCAATAGAAACCTAGTGTTACTGTTCTCAATCCCTTGCAGAATCTATTGAATATTGAGGTATTAAAACTAGATTTAATATATCTCACTGTGCAGGGATCAAAGGCTCAGTCAGACCTTGGGGTATACTGATTTTATAGTTGTTGATGTGCTGTTGACTCGTTGTCTGTTGATTATGTGCTTGATATTATCGCTGAGGTATCTTTTTGTATTTTTCTGCCGGGGATGGGCCAGATTGGGAAGGGCGGTACGAGGGTGGGACTTGGCGTTGGTGTTTTGGAACATCAAAGATGGACAGGGTTTTCGCGGAGGTCGCTCCTCAGATATCTCCACAACTACAGATCGGGGATCTTCCAAAATCGAGAAGATTGGTGCATACGGCTAGGTCTCTTCACCTTACAATTTGTATGGCAATTTGGCCCGGGGTTGTGGTGTGGTAGGGGAGAATGGGGGATAATCCCACGCAGGAGTTCCGAACGACGTCTGGTTCACGTTTGGCTGGATAACTCCACCACCACACGGGGTATGCGGTCGGCGATGGGGTCAGAATGCTCGTATGATCGAGGGCTTTTCGATGGATCTATCGGCGGGTTCTTATTCGAAAAATCGAGCGAGTTCGTGGTGGAGCGGTTTGTTTTTCAAAGTTAAACTGATTAGAGAGAAGAGAGTTTTCACTCATTTATTTTTCACTCAGTTCAATATCAAATTGAATAATCTTATGATCTGATTCTGATGTCTCATTTGAATTAATAAATCAGTTTATAAGTCTTTTTTTTATTAGACTTTATGACATGAAGATTAGATCTATAATAGATTTCTGTTTCATGTCTTTTCTAAAGAATGTTTATTGATCAGACTTATTAACTAAATCTATTGAATGCTCAAAGATTCATTCAATCAGATTATCCGCTCTTACTACTCTCTTGTATTCTGAATTTTATCAGAGATGATGTGCATTGAAATCTTCTACAATTATAGAGTTTCTTAATGAAGTTATGTTCAGAAATTCTCTATTAATTATTCAGATATTGTTATTTTTCTTCAATAACTTTTCATTATAGATATTTATAAGCTGTATAGTATCAAACTCATTCTCTTTATCTATAATATCACTTATCAAAATATCAGGGTCAGACATAATATTAAATCTTAGATTAAATTGATATCTTGAGCTCTTTCTTTTATAGATTACTACTCTTGACTTTATCTCAGACTTTTAAGATAGAAAGTAGTAGTAGCTTGAATGAGAAATGATGTATTTTTACTCAGCATCAAAATTCAGTTTCTGAAGCAGTATAAAATCAACTTTTTATTCAAATACAATTTGAAGATAAGAATAAATACAATTTGAGTTTCTATTCACATTATTTTGAATAAATGTGATTTTTGAACAGTTTTTAAACTTTTTTATTATTTTGTTGTATATTCATACTAAAAGAGAGTAGAGATAGAGTAGAATCTATTCACTATCATCAGATAGTAGATTATAACTGTTTTGAAAAGTAGAAATCTCAACTGCTTGTATTATATATAGCTTATTATCAGAGTTATTTCTCAATTCTCTAATCTTAACAGAAGTTTGAGAATTCAAATTCTGTTTATATTTAGCTGAAGAATTAAAGTTTGAAGATTTAAATAGTTAAGAGTTTCTTCTTTTTGAGCTTGTAGTTATAAGTTTACTGACTTGACTCTTCTCTTCATTTCTAGATTGACTTTGAGCTTCATCTTTTCTTCAGTTCTTTTGAGTTCTTGAAGTAAACATACATTCTTTTGCACTAGATGCATGTTTTTCTTTGCAATTAGAGCACTTAAGCAGAGTGTGTTAACATATTTCATCTCTTTTTGAGCATGTTTCATATTTATGCTTACTAGTTTTGTGATCTCTGGCACAGAATGCACATTTTAAGTCTCTAAAATATAAGATTATAAAGTACTCATATCTTTGACAGTTTGAACACTGTGTTTGAGCTTTAAGATTCATTCTTGAGTCTTTATATTCATAAACTCTCATTTTCAAATCTGCTACTCTTACTTCAGAGATCTTTGACTGTTCAAGTGTCTTTGTATATACTAGAATAGAGGCATTTCTTCTGCTTTATCTGAACTCAATTGAATTTAATCATACAGGCTCTTTTCTCAGTTGAATAGAGTTGTATTCTTCTAATTTATTTTTGAGAAGTAGTATTCCTTCTTCACAGTCAAAAGTTTCAACTGAAATATCATGAAGAATGAATTTATCTCACTTTTTATCTCTCTCAGAGAGAATTATTATGTTTAGCAAAGATTTGACTGCTGATTTTCAGAGATTCTTATTCTGAATAAGGAATTCTGCACTGAATTCAGACATTGTAGTCAGAATGATAGAGTTTTTAAAGAATGATAACTCAATTGAAGCGATAACTGATTTTTGAACTTCAATATCAGTAGACTGACTACCGGGACCATGAATTTCACATTTGGTCTCATTTGATCTGGTCCCATACATTTCTTGGCGTGAATCCCGCTGGGACTGGCTATCAAAAAAACATGTAAAGTGACTATATATCAGTTCTTAAAATGAAATCATGACTTGAAAAAAATGAGAAAGTGATCTCATTTGATCTTATTTAGTCTCATTCTTAACATAAAGTTACTATTTTTAGACATTTTAAGGTTTTTTTTAGACTATTTTTAATTTTTTAAAAAGTAATGCTTTTTGATAACACTCAAATGAGATTTAAAGTCATTTAAAGCAATAAAAATAATTTAAATTGAGAAGTGGAAATCATAATCTCATTTAAAAAATGTGACAAGAGTAGACAGTAAGTCTTACTGAGACAGTATGAAACTACTATCTAATATTAAAACTGTGTAATGGGATCAGTTAAATTGATAATGAGACTATCAAAAAATCTGGTTCTGATTCCAGACACGGTCACACGGTCAGTCTAAATATCAGTCATTAACTGAGAAAAGAACTACTGATTAATTTCATTTCTGATTCTGAAAATAAGATTTGAGTTTAGCTTGTTTCTTTGTAAAATGTTCTGATTTGAGACTTTGAGAATAAGTCTTCTATTTCTGAAGATTGAAAGTTTTTCTCTTTTTGTATTTTTTTCTTCACTTTTTTATGAATAGAAGTATGAGCAGTATTCTTCTCAGTTTTCTCAGAATTTTGAGCAAGTTTTGAGATAGCAGGTTTAGAGACAGCAGATTCAGCTGCTTGAGTATATGTTTTCTTCTGATTTAAAGAAGAAGAAGAAGTAGAAAAAGAAGAAGAGTAAAATTATGAGTTGTGCTGCGCCCGATCAATCATACAGACTATTCTGTTACACTCCACAGATTCCTACTGTTCCGATTCTCGGTCGCTTCACAGATCGCTCTACAGATTTCTAACATTCCGACTCTCAGTCGCCGATACTCGGCTGAAAACCTACAGAATTTCTATTCTTCCGCCCTGAAGCTCCACTGTGTACACCATCATGTACGCGTATAAATATTCACTCTGATTACTGATTCTCACACTTTCTCTTTCTTTTCTTCTCTAACATTTTTCTCTTTGTTATATAAGACCTATCAATATCATACTGATCTATTCAGTGTAGGCCTCTTACACTAGAAAAATGTTCATTGTCTTCTTATTAGAAATGATTATTCATGCATTGTCTTCTCATTAGAAATGATTATTCATTAAGAGATATCTGAACATGTAATAACATGTAAGAAATAGAGAAACAGTCAAACAGTTAAGTGAACACTGAGTTCTTAGATAGAAGCTTACTCATCAGTTATTCTGACTCTGTAATAAGATCTTATAAAGAGAGTAAGATCTTATAAAAGAATGTCAGTGAAAGACCTGAGAGTTCTGACACTCAGATGTATAAGATATTCATACAATTACACTTCTTCAGATTTCACAGATATCACATATCTGATAAAACAATATAATCATGTCTAATGATAATATGAGAGAACTCTTGAATGTAAGTATAGAAGTAATATCACAGTGACTCTGAGCAATGTTGAAATTACAACAGTAACAGATAGCAGACATGCATACAACTTAATAACTTCAATATAAAGAGATTCAATGATTAACTCATGCAATTTCAACATCTACAGAATTGAATATAAAAGCACTGAAAGAATGCTTAGATGCTTCTGTATATTTCAATACTTCTGATCTCATTCTCTACTTATCATGAAGAATGAAAATGCTTGCAAAACTGAGTGTAGATGAAGATGTCATCAGTTTGTTAATTAATCAAGATTGATATATCAATGAATGATTGAAGAATCATATGAAACAGAAGTTTTATTCATGAATAAAAGTATGTGAATCAGTGTTGCAAATATCTGACAATATTACCAAATATCTTGATGTTCTGTTCTAAGACACTGCTATGCAACAGAAAGTATTAGATTGATTACAGAGAATCTGACAGAGAAACACTTCTCTTACAATATTTATCTCTGACTTCAACATCAAGATTCTAGAAGCAGGTGATTAATCTTGAGAGAATTAAATGAAGATTAGTATACTTAAGAAGATATTAACTTTCAAACTCTTACAGACTCTTATAAGTGTAGATAAAGATCAGACTTATAAAGATTTCTGCACACAGCTCTGAACATTAAATAATCATCTTATCAAGCTCAAGAGTATACAGAACAGCGACAGAAGATGTTACACTTCAGTGACTTATACATCTGCACTGAAGAACAGTAATGATGCAGATGCTATGAACTGAATAGATTCAAATGCCTATGCACAAGTAAGGGTTTCTGCTGTTTGAACAGACTTCTGAGTTTCTGAGATCACTCTTGAAGAAGTTGCTGATTGATGTCAATGTGAAGTGTGTATTAACTGTAACTGATCAGAGCACATTGCTTTCAACTGCTGATTAATCTATGTGTCTTCACACTTGAGAGAAAGATCAGTGTCTTCTCATTTGAAGAATGAATCAGCGCCTGTCCACATCAATCATGTTACATTAGAGGAAGATTTAAAAGATAACTATGAGAATGCTCTGATGAAACAGGGAAAAGATTAACTTCTGTTCAAATTCACAAACAGGAGCTTGAAGAGGTCAGACAACAATGATTTGAAGAGAAAATGACAATGAATGTGATTCTTGTATCTACTGTGGTTGATTACATATATAATATAAAAGCCATGGTAGACAGCGGTCTATGCTACTATGCAATGATAAAATCTTCAGTTGTAAGACATCATAACCTTCAGCGTATCCTCTTATCAAAATCCCGACTCCTTGCAGGATTTGAATGAATTCTGAGAAGATCTCTGCCATTCTCAAATGAGAAGCTTCATGTACTGTGAAAGGTGTATGAAGCTTCATTGAATTCGCTAACTTCTATTGATAATTTATATGAAACTTCTCAGATATCACAAGATCACTTACAGATCTCACTAAGAAAGACTCAGTATTTCAATGATCAGCAGATGCTGAAGCTGTATTTACACAGATGAAGAAGATGTTCATTAATATCTTGCTACTGATAACATTCAATTCTGATCATGAGACAGTTATTGAAGCTGATTTCTCTGACTATGTAACAGAAGAAGTGATATTGTAATATGATGATGAAGATGTTCTATAACTATATATCTTCATATCTAAGAAACTGAGTCCTGCTGAATGCAATTA